CCGCCCCAAATAATCGCTCCAGGTAATTGTTCTAATTCATTGGCAAGATCTTGAAAGAATTCAGGATTATCCTTATTTGGTCCATAGATATTTGGTCCATAGATATTTGTAATTGAGAACCGAATACTTTCTATTGTCATATCCAGTATGATAAAACGTCCATTTTCGTCCAAAATTGTTTCATGCACTTCATATTCAAAGTTATTTTTAATCAGTATTAATGTCCCTGCTCTATTACTGGTTCCATGTGAGAAGTAACACCTGTAGCCCCATTCGGCTGCCCATGTCTGTTCATTTTCTAAAGTACTATGAGATTCTTGAATAAATATTATAGATGATTTCCTATTTCGTACGAAATTAAAAATACCTCTACGTTTTATGCTGTCCGACTGGAGGCCCCTGGCATTCATAGATAAAATACACATATTACTCATGTCGTATTTTTAATAAGTGAGTAGAACTGAGTGAGTGTGCGTAAGAGAGAGAGAGAGGGAGGGAGGGTAGTTTGACAGAGAGGAGTAAAGAGAGGGAGGGAGAGAGAGAGAGGGGGCAGTAGGCAGAGAAGTAGTAAAAATAAAATGAGAATGATTGGTAATCCCTTTGACATTTGCCCAATTTACACAATGTATTTTGCCCAATTTACACAACATACTTTTACATCTTAATCAGCATATATGAACTACCTTCATGTTAGTGGTAAAAAAAAGTCACAAATAAGATAATGAACGGTATCTAACACTTTGTCGTTGAATCCTTGTTAGAACCCGGGGCCAACTTCACAAAGCGCTGCCAGCTACGATTGTTGAAACCCTATGTGAGTGTGCCAATCCGTTAATCCTTTAAGCAAAATATTGGACTTCAGCGTTGTGTACAATAATCAAAAAGAAAATTCATTGATGAATAAAGTATATATTCAACAGTGCATATAAGATAAATACCTATCTTGGATCTAATTTTCGCTCATCCGATCTTGACATTTTGATATAAAAGCTGAGCTGCATGTATAATGAAAATGAAAATACGATTTCCAGTAAGAGTACTTTGCCAAATAGAATGTCATGTCACATACGAAAAACCCTTTCAATTGCACAAATATGAAGATGATCCCTATATGAAACCACGCTGTCATGCAGAGAAAACACTTTCAGGGCTATTTAATGTACACTTTGGTGAATTAAATCTATTTCAAATAGTTTTTCTAAAATTTTAGGCAGTGACAGGATTAGTGTAATATTTCATTATCTTGTATTCACAATGTGCGTTGCAGGTAGTTATTAGCCGCCTACAAGTGCACACACATCTGTTATACTGAAGTGACAGTATGCACAAAAGACGTTGGTAAAGAAGTGGTCGCATAGTCGCTCATTAGAAATATATCAGCAAACTCACTTTTTAGGAGACTTTTGCAGTAATAGACATAACCCCCGTCACGTTATTTTGTGATGACAGCTGCATTTCAAAAACGGAGTCACTGTTTTCAAACTAAAGTGCAATGAAAAAAGCCATTCATGAAATATTCTCTACAGAGATGCTTTCTTTGTGTTGCACAAGGTAAAATTGTATTACATTTATTTTTCAAAATATGAAAAATTGCATATTCAGAGACAAGGGCGTAGTATGTACTTCGTCTTGATGTGTTGACAAATCGGCTGAAGTGACAGAAAAACAATTTTAACTAAACCACATTCCGTAGATTGACATTGATGGTAATGGATATAGGTAAAATCTCACACAACTGAGGATTTGAAGCCTGTTTAATGTAATGCGGAGTGAGAGTAACAACAATTTGTCCCAAAATCTGTATGATAAGAGAAGGAACTTCAACTCTTTGGTAGTCAACTTTCCCTTTGAATCGGGCAATATTGCAGCAACTCCATCCTTTGCTGTCGTACTCTTTCAGTGAGTTTTCAGTGAGCGCCATGCGATTCAAAAGTTGCTTTGGCAACTTACAACATAGAAAGCCATAGTAAAGTTTCAAAACAAATTCATGGTAGACATATTGTTAGGGATTTGACGCAATGGGCAAACATTTTCCCTCTTGTGTGATTGGAAATTTTAATATTACAGACTAACCAACCATATGACATACAAACCGAGTAGGTGATCTAATAAATACTGAACTTCACTAATACACATCTTTGTCGCCAACACATTAATCAAAAAGTTCGCAATAACCACCTTATCGCTGTCATAGTCAGATAATAGGAGTATCTGTACAACCGGGATTTTGTATAAATACGGCTAATTAGGGCTCAATGCCTCAAGGTTTTATCTAAACTATTATGCTATTATATCTAAACAACAGGCTACTGCATCTTAAATTTATGTTCTTATATCTTAACTAGCATCTAATTTATGTTAACCAGGCCCTTGGCAATACTTCAACATGTGGAATATGTCATACTTCGGTGTATATTTCGTGTACAGCTGTTGATAAGAGATTACTTCAATTCTTTTTAACGCTATTTAGCTGTTTACCACATAATATGTATTGTGACTGTTATAGAATGTAGCTTGTGTAAATGCCCACTTGAGTAATGTATTAAGGTGTGTCAGGTGTATTATGTTCAATCATGAGTTAACTGTTATCATACGTAGCTTACGTTAGTACAACTAACAGATTATTTATCTTTAATTATTTCTGTCATTGGTATTCTTCTTATTCATCCATCCATCTATGTGTGTGTGTGTGTGCGAACAATTTATCGTTGACTAACTAATGTTAATTTCGTTTACAAATCTCTGCTAGGCGAGCTGATTACCTAAACATTCGTTTAGCAGAGAATTCTTATGATTGTAGCGTGTGTAGCTTTTATTTGCTAAGATATTAAGACCAATGGTTTATTCCGATGTTGCTCAATTGAGATTATGGGCTAAAGTAGTAGCATGCAGTAGACATCGGATGCAATCAATCGAGTGGACAGCCTCTGTGAGTTTTGCTGCTCATTAGCTCATGTGCCCAATCCCTTTTCTTTTGGACAAATAAATATGTTTTTTACAAAGCAAAAACGATTAGTTGATTTCTGCTGAAGGTATCAATGAAAGGATCCACTCATTCAGTCAGCAGTTTGGGGCATCTGATATTGTCAATAATGAGTGTCCTGGAACGGATTCTACTGGTTACAGGGGCGTTGGGGAAGCGTAGTGGTTAAAGCGTTCGCTCGCCACGCCGAAGACCCGGGTTCGATTCCCATATGGGTACAATGTGTGAAGCCCATTTCTGGTGTCCCCCGCCGTTATTTTGCTGGAATATTGCTAAAAGCGGCGTAAAACCCAACACACTCGCTCACTCTATTGTTTACAGGCTGTTTGGATACAGCTAGTACAAACAAACAAACAATGACAAATAACGAAACAAAAACCCGAGAAAAATGGCGAATAGGATATACATGTATATAACAATAGGGGGATCCGAATGGATATATCTTAGACGTTTCACATTTGCTATCAAACAAAAACCCACAGCAAGGGCGAATCCTGGATTCGAACTCCGTTTATATAGTTCACCTCGGCACAGCGAAGTAATTAATTAAGTTGAAAGTTTGTTTGTTTTGGCTTGCTTATTTAACATCGATGCCCATGTGCACTGCTTGGAGATTATGTTTATAATTTGTTTATTTATCTTAAGTATTTACACAGGTTTGCATAAAAACATGTTAAAGAAAATAGGGCGTGGCAGGTTGACCAAACCTTATTGAAGTAGTCTCTATTCCAATTCAGTCTTGTAACATTCAGTGAGCTCCTTTTGTGTGAACTGGAATGTTGGTGGGTAGTTATTATTTCTAAATTTGAAAATAATTGGAGAAAATACCGGGAGATAATGACATACCACCAAGAGGCCCCATCTCCCCATCCCTTTTGCCACCTCTTATGACGATCATGGGTTTCTGAAATCGGTCCTTATTTACGAGGTTATAGTTACATATCACCTCAACATTTAATATTCACTTCACGTTCTTGTACTGTGCAGCGAATGGCTGGAATTTAGCTGTCATTAACGTTTATTATGACAAATTGGCCATTGAAAGCAGTTGGAGTCATATTACGTCTGGATACATTGACAAGGAAGGCGTTCCCTTTTGAGAACAACAAGACCACGAACGGTTTTGTTGGCATGCTGTATATTTATATTACGTAAAAAGGTAGTCAATATTTTAGAGTGTGCATACTTATGTCAGGATGAATTCAACGGCAATAATAGTTACGATGCTTTTAGCATCATTTATGTTGCCATGAGGACTGATGCAACAAAAATATCAAAATATAATTTTTGTTTACATTGATATATTATCTGAGAATAGGAAAATAAAGAATGAGATCTGCAGTGTGTAAGAGTAATATAAGAAATTATTCCGTCGATCCAAGAGAATAACTAGATATAACATCCGGGTAAACATGTGAAGGATCATTTTTATATTGAAATGTTTTTATATTGAAAACAAGTCGTACCTTGCATTTCGACGGAGACAAACTAGGCAGTTGGTGGACATTCAGTGCAACAATAGCACTTTTACTACAATTTTGACTGAAAACCATATGCTGCTTTTGAATCCCGGCCGGTGAGAACAAGTTCAGCGATTCTTCTGCTCATATATTACTCAGAGTGTGCTGAGGATCAACATTTTAAAAGGTGATCAGTCACGTTGTGGGGATATGTTGAAATCAAAAGATAATACTTCGAGGAGATCTTTTAATAGACAGAAATCCATTGACATGTGCCATATAATCCATACAAACATGTGACCCATAATCAGCCAGATGACCTGTCAAATTAAGAGCGACAGAGCACAGCGGAAACGACAAATCATGAAAACAAATGCATTAAAAAAAAGGACGGTATGTTCTGCACCTGATTCGATCACAGCCTGGCACTTTCGTCTTATGCTTCCAGTAAGTGTCTGGCTGTCTACAAATGAAGGTTGTTCCACTCTTCAGTAAGAGCATTCATTCAACGACCAGCCCACGGTATCAAGTACTCGTCCTTATGTCAAGCTTGTAGCATGCCTGTTGTCAGTGGCAATCAATTCTTCCAGCGCCAGGTGTACACACCTGATGGATAAAGTATTTGCGTGTCTTCAGACTGGATGACTTAGTTAATTGTGTGTTAATTGAGTGCCTATCATCAGACTGTGTGACTTAGTTGAGTGCCTATCATCATACTGTGTGACTTAGTTGAGTGTCTATCAGACTGTGTGACTTAGTTGTGTGCCTATCAGACTGTGTGACTTAGTTGTGTGCCTATCAGACTGTGTGACTTAGTTGTGTGCCTATCAGACTGCGTGACTTAGTTGAGTGCCTATCATCATACTGTGTGACTAAGTTGAGTGCCTATCAGACTGTGTGACTTAGTTGAGTGCCTATCAGCCTGTGTGACTTAGTTGAGTGCTATCAGACTGTGTAACTTAGTTGATTGCCTATCATCAGACTGTGTGACTTAGTTGACTGCCTATCATCAGACTGTGTGACTTAGTTGAGTGCCTATCAGGCTGTGTGACTTAGTTGAGTGCCTATCAGACTGTGTGACTTAGTTGATTGCCTATCATCAGACTGTGTGATTTAGTTGAGTGCTTATCATCAGACTGTGTGTTAGTTGAGTGCCTATCCTCACACTGTGTGACTTAGTTGAGTGCCTATCCTCAAACTGGATGACTTAGCTGAGTGCCTATCATCAGACTGGGTGAGTTAGTTGAGTGCCTATCCTCACACTGGGTGAGTTAGTTGAGTGCCTATCATCAAACTTTGTGACCGTTTGCCTGTCATGATACTGGGTGACTTTTTTGCGTGTCATCAGACTGGATGACTTAGTTGATACACTGGGTGTCATCAGACTGGATGACTTAGTTGATACACTGGGTGTCATCAGACTGGATGACTTATTTGATACACTGGGTGTCATCAGACTGGATGACTTATTTGATACACTGGGGGTCATCAGACTGGATGACTTAGTTGATACACTGGGTGTCATCAGTCTGGATGACTTAGTTGATACACAGCGTGTCATCAGACTTGATGACCTAGTTGATACACTGGATGTCATCAGACTGGATGACTTAGTTGATACACTGGGTGCCATCAGACTGGATGACTTAGTTGATACACTGGGTGTCATCAGACTGGAAGACTTAGTTGATACACTGGGTGACATCAGACTGGATGACTTAGTTGATACACAGCGTGTCATCAGACTTGATGACCTAGTTGATACACTGGGTGTCATCAGACTGGATGACTTAGTTGATACACTTGGTGCCATCAGACTGGATGACTTGGTTGATACACTGGGTGTCATCAGACTGGATGACTTAGTTGATACACTGGGTGTCATCAGACTGGATGACTTAGTTGATACACTGGGTGTCATCAGACTGGATGACTTGGTTGATACACTGGGTGTCATCAGACTGGATGACTTAGTTGATACACTGGGTGTCATCAGACTGGATGACTTAGTTGATACACTGGGTGTCATCAGACTGGATGACTTAGTTGATACACAGCGTGTCATCAGACTTGATGACCTAGTTGATACACTGGGTGTCATCAGACTGGATGACTTAGTTGATACACTGGGTGCCATCAGACTGGATGACTTAGTTGATACACTGGGTGTCATCAGTCTGGATGACTTAGTTGATACACTGGGGGTCATCAGACTGGATGACCTAGTTGATACACTGGGTGTCATCAGACTGGATGACTTAGTTGATACACTGGGTGCCATCAGACTGGATGACTTAGTTGATACACTGGGTGTCATCAGACTTGATGACCTAGTTGATACACTGGGTGTCATCAGACTGGATGACTTAGTTGATACACTGGGTGTCATCAGACTGGATGACTTAGTTGATACACTGGGTGTCATCAGACTGGATGACTTAGTTGATACACTGGGTGTCATCAGACTGGATGACGTAGTTGATACACTGGGTGTCATCAGACTGGATGACGTATTTAATACACTGGGTGTCATCAGACTTGATGACCTAGTTGATACACTGGGTGTCATCAGACTGGATGACGTATTTTATACACTGGGTGTCATCAGACTGGATGACTAAGTTGATACGCTGCGTGTCATCAGACTGGATGACGTATTTGATACACTGGGTGTCATCAGACTGGATGACTTTGTTGATACACAGCGTGTCATAAGACTGGATGACTTAGTTGATACATCGCATGTCATAATACCCCGACGACATGGGCTATACCCATTTCCAGTCAGCCTGGCGTTAGAATTTACAGCTGCCGTCACAGAGGCGGAATATCGGGGATAGCAGCGTTAAGGAAGAAACACATAAACGCTTTGTAAAAAACCTCAGATTCACCTGGTATCCGTGTTCGCTCGTGTTCATTGGGGTCAACAAAGCGCTTAATGCCTAGATGACGAGCCATTGAGAATCAGCTTATGCTGCCATGGCGTGATTTAACTGAAAGTGTTCAAGGTAGCGTGCAAAACATCTCGTTGGTTACAGACAAAGTGAGTACAGTGAAAAAACGACGCCACGTGCATTTTCAAACACACAGAGCTGTTATCTTTGTGCGGTTTCGAAAATTATGTTATTACAGAGCATCAATTTTAAATTACACTGGATTATGTCCCTTTTATTCTTTACGCAACGGTCAGATTCATGAAACGCGTCGTTAAAGATTAATCCATAAATTTAACCAAAAAATCTTAATAATATAAAAAATTTCAAAGGCACATTTGTCCTAAGTAATCAGGCGTTCGAGTTGCCTAAACCAAAGTTTAACCCACACCCCACTGCGCCTGCGCGCTGCAATGCTATTTTATGGATGTTTTATGATGGGAAAACACCCACGTGCGCATATATTATGTATTCACTGGCATGTATTTTGCATGATGCAGTTATAGTGGATTCGCTGATTTGCTTCCCTACATTACAATCCGTTCCAATGATTAGTAAACCATTTTTAGAAATACGGCATGAAACACATTTAAAAAACTTTGAATGCCAAGCACAGAAGCATATCTAAGTAGAGAAGCCTTTCTTTCAAAGAAGGTTATAGTGTTGTACGTTACACGCCATTAGCAAAATATTTCCATAATAAGAACCAGTTCAATTATCCTGTCAAGATATTATTCCACACAAAACAGAGATAAAAATTCTTTGCCAAAATCATTGTCGATTGTACAAATGTCCCTCTGTCATGAGCGTGTATTTAGGAATCACTAGCAAACTGTGACTACAGCAGTTGTCCATAAGTGAGTCATCATTTCTGAAATTCCCATAGACTTGCATGTTAGGTAACTCTTGCAAGAATAATGTTCATAAATTTAGTTTCGGTCGAATTGCTTTAATACTTATCTACCAGCTGGGAAATCATCTCAGCTGCACACATAATTTCCATGGAATTTTCCGATGATCATTAAGAAAACTGCAACTATTTAAACAATATATACTCTCCCAAAAAAGAAACGCATCATGAAAATAGCAATTTCATGTAGCAATGAATTAAAACGTGATTCATTTTACAAAAGGTTATGAGTCCTATGGTGTTTATGTTTTGAAACATCACAACAAAACGCACCATCCGTAAAATACCCGTATTTAACAGCATGATTTTCAATTTCGGCGTGTAGTGTCACAGAATACACAATTCACATACAATGCACGTGAAAGTTGGGGGATCAGATAGTCTCAATGATGGGTATAAAAGGTTGATCGCTGTCTGTCGATTATTCACTGTATTTGGAATATTGTTGACGAACGCAAAATGCCACGTCTAAGTGAAGCCAACCGTCATATCGCCATTGGTTTGCTTGAAGCTGGCCAGTCTCAACGTGCAGTTGCCCGACGCATGAATGTTCACCAAAGCACCATTTCACGGCTCTGGGAGATATCGCCGGCAGAATTCGGTAGCAGATGCCCCTCGTAGTGGCGACCTCGAGCGACCACTGCGGCGCAGGATCGCTACATCCGGGTACATCACCTGCGTCATCGAACAGCTACGGCGACCAGTACCGCTCGACAAATACCCGGATTGAGGAGACGTTCTGCGCAGACCGTCAGGAACAGGTTGAGAGAGGCTGGTTTACGTGCCAGAAGACCTTATTTTGGCCCTGTGCTTCGACAACAACATCGTCGACATCGAGTTCAATGGTGCACCAACGTTCAGGCCTGGAACCTACCGAATTGGCGTAGAATCTGGTTCAGTGATGAATCACGATTTCTATTGGAACGACGCGATGGAAGAATGCGGGTGTACAGACGTCGACGTGAACGTTTCGCCGACGCTTGCGTTCCCCAGGTGGACAGATTCGGCCCGGGCAGTGTTTTGATGTGGGGAGCGATCACCTGCCGTAGGAGAGGTGATTTGGTGATGATCCAGGGCAACCTGACAGCTCAACGGTACTGTGACGAAATCCTACGCCCACACCTCCTTCCAATCATTGATCGCCAGAGGGAGTTGTTTCAACAGGACAATGCCAGGCCCCACACAGAACGTCACACTAGAGACTTCCTCCAGAACCACAACATCAATGTGCTCCCCTGGCCCTCAAGATCACCGGACTTAAACCCGATCGAACATCTGTGGGATGCCCTGGACAGACGGGTGCGACGCCGTAACCCTCAGCCCCAGACACTTCAGCAACTCGCACAGGCACTACAGGCAGAGTGGGCTGCGATTGGGCAACACGAGATTCTGAGACTTATTCGTTCGATGCCGAGGCGATGCCGTGCAGTTCTGGATGCCCACGGTGGTCACACGAGTTATTGACTTCAGCGCCACCACACACGTCTCCATGTGACACTCAAACTGACTTTCCTCGAGTTGGTGCCAAAGACGGATAAGTCTGCATTCCCAGTGTGCAATTTCGCTATATTTCATTGACTCATAAAGCCTACAAGATGTTTCAAAATAAACATAACAATACAGTTGAAATTCCCATATGCGTTTCGTTTTTGGGAGAGTATATATTAGGTATACAAATCATGTTTAACATGGCTGTCTATGGGATAGATTAAAATTAAGTTGTACTTATGGTGCTTAATCAGGTGTCATAACTGATCAACGGAAAGATGAAAGAAAAATATGTACACGTAGCTGAAGATGATTCCCAAGATATTTGCAAAATATCAAAATAAAATGACTTCTACACAATTTATGACAATTATGCTTGCAACAGTTAATTAACATGTAAGTCTATGGAAATTTCACTAATGATGACTCACTTATGGCCATCTACTGTATACTGCTTCAGTGATGGTACTCGCCACAAGCACCAGCAAGAGAGGCCAAGAAAACAAATATATGATTTAAGTCAAGAAGAGGCATTGAATCGGACATAACGTTTGTGATCTTTATCAATTTAGTCGTATCTGGAAATGTACTCCGCATATTCATCACACACTAAAAAAGTCTTAGTAAAAGCTTTAATGAGGCCTTGAATGTTGTAAATTTGACAAAACACTTTTGAACAAGAGTCGTATGACGCTCTTTGAAATCTTCATAGAAAAACGTTATTCATCGGTACATCAGACGTTGTGTAATGTAAATGCCAGAGGCTGGGGCTACTGGTATATCGTTCGACATAAAAGGAAAGCTGCATTGAAAGTTGAAGAGAAAGCGCACTTTAGACAGTCACATTGGAATTCAGATGCAAGATGTGTTTTAATAATTACTTTGTACTCACATATTGATTTGTTGGTGGTAGCGAAAACAAAAATAGTTTGTTTCATAGAAAATACCCACTGAATAGATACTTTGATGATACTCAGGGAATACTTGGTAGAATAAAACTCGGGAACAAAATAGATTGTTCTCAAAAGGTATTCCCAAACATCCTAGACACAATAAATGGACGCTTCCTGATCGTTAGCTGATTGTTTGCACCTTGCGCCGTAAGCATTTATAACACATCAGTAAAGTTCGCCGTCTCCTGGATACAGCTAAACTGTTGATTCAGTGCCTTGTGTCTTTAAGGCTGATTATTGCAATGCTCTGAAGGTAAATCTTCTTAATACAGCCATTGCCAAGTTACAGCGAATCAAGAACTCTTCAGCCAGATAATCTCATGGAATCCTCGAACACACCACTCCTACGTCCTTTCATCTTCTGGATCTGTAGTATCGCCCATGACTGCCACAATATGATAACTATCCTTCATACCTTAAGAACTTCATCTCCCTGTATTTTCAATAGCGTGCACTTCGATCCTCCTGCAGAGTTCTACTGAACCAGCCTCTGTCTACTTCTGTGATGTCTGGTCGTGCCTTGTCAGTTTGCAGTTCCCAGTCATGGACCTCCGTACCTTGTGAACTAAGAAACATTAAATCTAAAACCGTCTTCAAGTCTCTCCTCAAAATTCATTAACTCTTTTGCTCAGCGCTTAACTTTCAGGACAGTCTTTATATATGTACACTGACTGTATTTTACCTTTGCCAGAGAGCGATACTATGCCCTTGAAGAAATTAATCACTGTTATCATTAAGTTTTACAGATTTAAATAACATGCAGCAGAGGGAGGTTGGGTAGTCATCAGCACATCATCATGTTTGGCTCATCATCAGTTCAGGTACTCCTGCCCCCTCTGCACATAGCCCAGAGATAATCTAGACGGCGAATGGGACTTATCCAAGGAAGCGCTGCCTAGTCGAACCAGCCAAGAACCCTAACTCCCTAATACTGCAGCCTTCTGCATTAGCAAGAATGTCAGAAGAGCTGCGACAAGAGATTATGAGCTACCAAACCAGGGCACCGAGAACAATGGATAACCTAACGAAAGTGTACTTTGAATGTAAGCGAGTCATTTCAAAAGCGAGTATTACTATACCAGTGTTACAAATGCACGATGATTCAGAAGGTGTTTCAACCACAATTGAAGTAGTAGATACCACTCAAAGAATTCACCACACCGTATACTTGTTAACATGAGAGAGAAGCTCACCTACTACACGGAGCAGGGTGACATATCTTTTGTACCCTGGCCCCATTTCACTGATGTCACTATCGTTTAAATGAGTTGCGTTTATGTCTGTTTTATAAATACTCTTTTAATGTCACGATGGGGGAGCACAAGGTATGTAATTCA